GCCTGACGATGATGCAGTCCAGCAGATGTCAATGTTTTGAGCTAGGATGTATCCACAAGGTCTTGTCTTTTTGTAGGCGTAAGACAGGGTTGGTGATGAGGTCATGTGCAGCGCTGGTGTCAAGCAGTAGAAGCCCAATGCTGTTGCAGCTACCAACCCGTCCACCACCCCCACCCTCTACTCCTTCCAACGACTTGTGTTCTGTGCTAAATCTGGCATTGAAGTCACCAATGATGATGAGTTTGTATTCTCTGGGTAAAGCAGAGATTGTCTCTTTCAGATCCTCATAGAATCTTTCTTTTGACTTCTTCAGGGTTGGTCATAGAAGCACGGATTAGCATGGCATACCTTTTAACTGGGAATGGTAGTCAGGCCATTGTTGATGCCCTCTAGGGCCACAGCCATATTGTTAAACAGGTTGGACTTTATGGCAAATCCGATTTGTGCCTTCTCTCGGAGAAGTGAGTCTCCCAGAGGGCAGAAATATGCACTTTATATATCTTTGCTAGTTCTCTGGTGATAAGAGCAGTTGTCCTAGCTGGTCTGTCATCCCTGACATGGTCCATTAGGGTGCACTCATTCCATGTGCCTAAGGTGAGTAGGTTCACCTTTATAGTTTTTAATTCCATCTCAATGCTTTCTTGGAATCCTGAAAGCCGCGGTATGCTGACCAGGATAGATGTGAGCAGGCAACATAAGGGTACCTTTTTGGCGCCTTTCCCTTACAAAGGGAAGACCAGTGCGTTCCCAAATTTGGCTGCTGTCACTTGAATGGCTTCCAAATTTTATTTCAGTGCTACTTCTTCAATAAGTGACCCTATGGCCAAAGTCGCCTGTGTGTAGTTTCGATTACAGCTGCCAGTGAATCAACACCTGCTATTTTGCCACGCCTCCATCGCCACAGAACTTGAAGAGCTTAAGTCGTGACTAGCAGGAGAATTTGATAATAGACAGATTCAAGACGGCTTGAGACAAGCCAAGATGAGATGGATGGCCAGTGTCCTTTAGTGTATCACTGTGCTCGAGTTGCGATACGCCATGCTTTGCTGGTCTGCCTCCATAATCGTTGATCCAACTGATGGTTTCCTCCGAACCGAAACCAGTCTTCACATGCCTAGGTAGACAACTCCTAACTCACATTTGAGACCCGTTGGCTACCCTCTCCTAGTTCAGCCGACCAGTCAAAGCCATTGCCAAGGCTCTTGACACTGTTGCAGGCGAACAACTACAAGGAGTCATAGGTGTTGGTTAGAAGTCAAGTGCCAGGTGGGGACCAAAGTGGACAAACTACCCTGAAAAGGGGCAGCATGTCTCTCCACAAGAGGAACTACCTCTCCCGACATCCAATTCACACTCACTCTTTTCGCAAACTCAGTTTATAGCCATTAATATCAGTGGGCTACAGGCAAAAAAGTATGTCTAGAACCTTTGTTTTTCGGTAGAAGATGAGGTCATTTCTTTTCAAAACTTTGTGCAACTCCAGTTCAGTAAGCTACAAGTCATTTTTTTAATGATATGTTGTCTGTTAAAATGTTTAAGACTCCTGTGACTTTCAATATAGGCAAAGGTAATCTTGTTTCCATAAGATTGTAGCAGGTTACTTGCCAAAATTCATTAATCTGGTTCTTGCCATTCTTCAGAACTTTTGTCAAGTGTTTTAACAAATCGACTCCTTTAACCTTAAGGTAATTTCTTTAAACAAGCGGCCAATCGGATTAATATGTCTGGCCTGTGCCCCACTTTGACCATCATTGCACAAGACAAATTCGGTTGGTCTAGCACTTATAATTTCAGTGAAACTAACTTAAACCCATAACTAAATGTTGATGGAGATGCTGACAAAAGTCAATGGACCATGAAAGGTAGGCCACATCCAGCATTTGATGCATGGGTTGAGATGTAATACTTAGGATGCATCTATGGGTGGTCTAGCACTTTTATTTTCAGTGAAACTAACTTAAATGCAACAAGAGTTCCGCAAAGCGATACACGATACGCCCGTCAGATGTCGAATAAGCAGTTTGCCACAAAGGGCCATAAGTGCATAAAGTTATTGGGCAGAAATTGTGTTCCGACAATTCTACAAAAGGCCGTAAGTCCGTAAATCATAGCTTAAGTTTGAAATGAATCCATTCAATTTTTCTCAAGTTATTGAGCGGAAAGTGTTACATCAATTCTATAAAGGGCCATAACTCCCTTGTGCAAGCTTTCATAGAAATAAACTTCCTATGAAGTTTGAAATGTTTGAGGGGCGTATAAAAACTTGTTGATGCAGCCGCCGTCAAAGCAATACCTTTAGTCTCGCTTCAGCTACTTTGTGGGGCGAGACAGAAATAAATATACGGGATATGACAATCTGATCCGAAGGAATACAATCTGGGTCACACATGTGACTTTACATGTGTTAGGTGGAACCCTCACTTGTTTCCATGATAATTGTTTTCTCCATTTCTTTATCATCCAACAAAGTTAGTCAGTAATTGAATGTATAACATAGCTCACATATAGATGATTTTACTCGACGATAAGAGGTATATAACATAGCTCACATATAGATGATTTTACTTGACGATAAGAGGTATATAACACATCTCACATATAGATGATTTTACTTGACGATAAGAGGTATATAACATAGCTCACAAATAGATGATTTTACTTGACCATAAGAGGTATATAACAGCTCACATATAGATGTTTTTACTTGACAATAAGAGGTATATAACAAAAGAATATGGAATCCCGTCATCATTGAAAACAAATGTCATGGCAAATTTTAAAATACAACAAGAAGATTGGATACCATTTTAAAATGTTTTTATATTATCAAGGTAAATACTTCCAACCTATCAACATAGTGTAGCACATTTAATTCTCCCTCCTGCAACTTTTTTTGTCCTTTTTCTTTTTACACAAACGTACAACTCATTGAAATACGAAGATATGCTGATCTCACACACATGATTAAATAAAAAGAAGAGACTGACATACAAGATCAGTGGCCTTTTAAACATATTTTGCCATGTTGTAAATAAAGTACAAATTACCACTAGTTAAAGCAGTATTTTCCATCTGATTACAGGAAAATCAAGAAAACAGACTTGTCAGAAGCACATTCTTATGCTGTTTAAGTATCACTTTCACATCAGAATTAATACTGACGAACATTCTCCCTCCCACTCCATACTGTTTATATAATACTGGTGGATTTCCTTTCACACTTGCTCACCTTGTCAATGTTTTCCTATTTCTCATGTATCAGATTACAGTAAACGCTGCTAAAAACCTACAAACAACAGTATTAGATTTGAAGACATATGTCTGCAAAAACCTCCTGTCAAGGAGAATATGTAGATAAAGCATAGAAAAAAGACAATGTACATGTTTATATTCAGATTAGATATGGCTAGTGAAAAGACTACAGATAAATGAGTTGTTGTCTGAAATGTTTACATATGAAGCTAATAATGGTGATCTTTTGAAAGTTAAGTTGAAAACAATCTATTTTTGCTACTTTCTTTGTCAGCTTTGAACTACTCCAAAATTGACAATGCAGGAGAAAATGTAAGGCAATTTAATTAGAAATGTATGGGTGGCAGGATTATATGCATCAAATCCTTGATTCTCAAGTTTCTCATCTTTGATTAAATTATCAGTGTTAGTTCTGACAAAATTTTGGAACAACCGTAAATTAAAATTCTCTCATAACATGCTGCTTTGGTTTCAAAACCTGTTGAAACAATGCCAGCCAGAAATGATAACACATTTATTTACATCAATGACAACATAATTGTAATAGTATCACTACTTGAAAGAAAGTACCCAAAGTAAGTGATTGAACTGAAATTGTTCCATCTGATGGACAACACAAAAGATGTGTATGCACAGTCCCTTCTACACCAGAAACTGCCCTCAAACAGAACACTGTCCAAGGTTACCAATGTACATAACTGACAGCCAGTACAAAACTCCGTAACAAGCATGACATTCAGTCATTGTAGATGACTTCTATATAATAACCGGCACATAACTCAATCTCAAGTCTGACAAATCACCATCTACAGTATAGCCAGCATGGCACTGGATACAGCCTGTCTGATCATCTCTACACAACTGTCAATATGAAACTATATAATGCCTCCCCCCCCCCCCCCCCCCCCCCCCCATTTCATTGTGAATTAACCTGTATTTTGAGATCACCTGCTTTAAGAGACAATTTTTGAACTTCCCAAGGTTGGTCACTTAATACAGGTTTGACTGAAATAGCCTGGAAGATCACTTCTAAACATCAGCCAGTTTGATGTTCAGTGTCATGGTAGATAACTTATATGTAAGACACTCTTTCAAAACCTGGCAGATCACGCTCCCACAACAACCTGCACAACACTTGATATAGCCAACTAAATCCCATCTGTGTTACAGCCAGCATTGTGCTTGGCATCCTAGAATATTGCATATAACAGAGATCACCCACATATATTGATCAACATGCTACTCAATACTGCCTTGCTGATCACCATTATGTAAAAACAGGCACAATACTCCATACAGCCACAAAAATATTCTTTAAACTACCCGTGAAGTTATACAGTCCTAGTTGTGTAGTTTATAGCTTATAGCTAATGACTTAGGGCAGGGAAAGTATGATAATTATATTACACAAGAGGTTTTCTCAAATCTCTGAAACTTATCATACTTTTTCAATTTAATTTTCCCTCCACACTGGAGAAGAGCACATTGTATTTTTTTCCCACTTATTCATCAAACTACAACAAAATTTACATGTATCCAAATTACATATTGTTGGTCATTTTTCAATTTAACAAAGAGCTTACAAATGAGACACACTGGGGGTAAAATTCTGTTGTGTTCCTGTGAGAATTACAAAGATTTATTGAAGAACAATCTGTGTTACAGTTATTCAGAAACTCAAGCTGCATTGCTCATCAAATAAAATTGTTAAACATGTAAATCTGACTGCCCATCTCCAGATTTTTTCCCCCTGGAAAAGGCCAGAAGAAATTTTTGACATTGTCTAATATAAACAAACTGGCCAGAATAGGAAAATTGGGCCAGCAGGTCCTATCTATCAGGGTTTCTTTTCATTATGTGGTTTTGGAAAACCAAATTGGGTGTGTGGGGTAGGGGGTGTTCAAAGTTAGGATTTATAGCAGAAACTATTTTTAAGGCATCATGATGTAGCCAAAGTTTTTGTTTTTTATATTCAGAAGAAGTATGTGTCATCCAGACATTTTCATCCACCAAAATTCACCAGTTTAACAGTAATGATGGTTTCAAAACGCAATTTGGATGGGATAAGAAGATGAATCAGATCTCATTTACTCAGGACTAATTTTGAGGTAAAAGTTGCATGCACATGTAGTATTAAAATGTCAGAGTTTTTAAAGGCTGATTACTTATTGACAAATACAAAATCTGATAAAACTGATCTAACTACATGTACATATAATTGAAAATAAATATTTGAAAACCTCTGGTTCAAACAAGCTGTAACAACAGAGAATTGTAATGACATTTTAATAAGATGGAATTGGAAATCACTTTTAACTTGTGCTGTTGAGAACACAATTTAATTAATTTCTTTTATCCATCCTTTCTCAATACAAAATCTTAAGTACTTGTCCAGTAAAACATTTTTAAAAAGGTGGATGTTATCTATGGATGCAACTTCGGAAAGATATTTTCAGTGGAGTCTGTCAACTAATGGAATTTATTTTTCAGACATGGAGTATTTAGTCACAATCTAGTGAGAATTTGATCCCACCAGGCAGTGAAGCACACTCAGACTCCTTGTTGAAAATGGGATAAAAAATAAATCAAGTCACAACGCAAAAGTGCCCCAATATTCTGTGCCATTAATATCAAGATAAATGAAAAGCAACGTAGCAAAATAAGAAATCTGATTATAAGAATATAAACGAGATCTGATGGAGAACAGTAAAGCTTGCCTATTAGAAGATATTTAAAACAGGTAAAAATTCATGTTAAATATTAATTATGTTTTCACTTTTATACAAAAATATTTGACCCCAAATATCACTATTTTGGTAGAAATATTTATTTCCCCCAAGAGATAGGCCCTGATAGTTTGAGCATATTTGAACCCTGTGGCTTTGAAAAGATCATTTATTTGATCGCCCTTCATCCCAGCATGCTATGGGCCAACTATCATCACCATAGGCCTCAAGGTCAGCCTTTCGGATGGCACGGTGGAAAACGTACTTGCCAATATCAGCATTCTTGTACAAAGTTTATATTACCGATTTTAATCACTTGTGCCAAAACTTTTAATCAACTCAACATTGATGACAGGGTAAGTCTGTAATCTCTCTAAAGAATAGTCCTTGGCTTAAGCCTGCAATTTATGTATTTTCACAGAAATGGAACAGCTTTCATTCAAGTTACATCCACTCACTGAATTAATTTAACAGTATAACCAGCAGTGTAGGACAAGATATGTTTTATGATTGAGTGCCTTTTCTCATTCCAATACATGTTTAAATGGAAAAGCCCAAAGTCAGAATTGAAATATAATCACACAACTTTTCAACATTTTCCTTCAATACAAGTAAAAATGTCTGGTTAACATCAGACAGACTGTGTTTTTTTAATGCCCATGGCCATAATTAATAATGAATCTGTGACTTCATTAATTGAAAAAAAATGCAGATGTAAATGGTTACAAGCTTTAGTAAAAAAAAACAAAAAACTACTGTGCTTTGATCAAACTTTCCTACTACATATATTAATCACAGAAGGTCTACCGATACTTGAATTGACCTATCAATGGTATTAAGGGGAGAATTTCATATCTTTGGTTTAACAAAAATAACACTGACCACCAGACTACAGTAAATTAAAATTTTACAATAGATTCCACTTAATAGTATAGCAAACTAATCAGAAAACTTGACGCATATTAACCAAATTATAGAAAAAGGTAGTATGCCTGGCCACCTTTTAAAATTACCGATAACCAAATAGTTGTTTCATGCTTTATCTGTCAACAATCAAATATATAAAATTATTCCCATCTCGGTGCTGGGATACACCGATGAACAATTTCCAGTGTTGGCTCATGAATGTCTACAAACAATGACATGATATGTTTGCTGAAACTGTTAAAATAGTTTGAACATGTTTACCTGTAAATTTATAATGCATATAGGTTAATGGGTTTATTCTAGTTATTTACATGGAAAGTGGTTTTGTGTTGGGATATTTTATGCATATATAAACTTGATAGATGATTAAGTGGAATCTACTATATTTTACAATTTTTGTGTGAACAGCCTATACACTTCTAATCAAAATAAAACCAGTTATAAATATCTAATTGACAGCTGCACATTTACTTGCAAATACATCTCAAGATTTCTTGACATTTTCATATGAAAATAAAATTTCTGAAATCATTAATAAGAGATCATCAATATTGATATTGATCAATATTAAGAACTGAAATAGTCTTAGAAAACAAATATACATACTTGCATTCAAAACAAGAATTATACATTGCAGTAATTTTGCAATTCATAAAAACATGAGGAATATTGATACTGGAAGAAATTTTCCTATTCTTATTTTTTAATTGTTACAATGTTAAAATGAAATGTGCCTAATATATGGCCTAAGTCAAAAGTGTGGCGGTGTTGGAGGTTTCTCTGTAATGTCACCAGGTAGAGGGGGCAAGGCATCGTCCGAAAGGAAGTCCATGTCAAACAAGGACTGCATTGGCATATCTGTAAACTGTGATGTGAGTGAGGGGGCGGGTGGCGGGGGCGGCGCCTGAGGGTTGATGGGGGTCTGTTGTAATGCTATTTGAGCCTTTTGTAAGTCAATGACCTGTTGTAATTCCTGTATTCGCATGTCTAACTTTTCTTTACTGGTGTCAATCAATGGCGAGTTGTTGCGACTACCACCTTCAAGTCCACGCAGTGCAATATTTGTTTCCGTGTTGAACACATCCCCACCAGTCAGTGACCCTGTGTCAGACAAATCCATACTAACAACAGAGTGGTTAGAAGATGACCTGCGCAGGCTAGTTTCCGATTTAGACACTTTGTTCTTATGTATATCATTTAAATGGTCTGTTGCTGGACTATGAGGTCGTTTCCGCGATGATGAAGAAGGCATTGAATTTGACGCTGCTGGTGTTGCCATTAATTCTGACATTGTCCATGGGTGACCTGAATGGCTGTGTGAAGACGAGGAAGAGGCAGATTTGGCAGAGTCATGGGATGAAGACCGAGAATTTTTGTCCCGATGCTTTTCCCCTTTACCCTCACGGCCAGACTTACTCGACGATGATGACATTGTGTTCATATTTATGTGGAGCTTGAGGTCAGAGCGGCCGTTGGTCCCACTGTGGTGACTTCCACTGTCACCAGTATGGTTCATACTTGAACTTTGTTCCGAGTGACTACTTGAGTGCCGTGAAGATTTGTGCGACTTGTGATGTGACTCACCACGGTGCCTAGATGAGCCTGAAGAGATCTTCAATGGTGGCACTTTTTGTTCTGATTGAGATGTCGACTGGGAAGAAGAATGCTTCTTGTCCCCATGACTTGGTTGGTCCTTTGGCATTTTTATTTTTAGTTTTAGAGGAGAAGAACTTTCGTTTGTTACCTTGTGGTGAGTAAGACCAGGTTCGGACTTAATTTTGATTTTAGTCTCGGATAATTTTTCAAGATCTCGCTGTTGTCTATGCTGGTCTCTGTGATGTTCCCGGTGGTCCCTGTGATGGTGATGTTTTGTTTTCTCTGCTCCAGTATGCTGACCTACTTCTACTTTAACAGAGGGAACTTTTCGCTCCTCACTACTTTCCTGAGGCTCACGCTTTATTCTCTCAGCTACAGCTGCAGCCTCACGTTTCTCTTTTTCTCTCTGTTTCTCCCAGTATTCCTTGAGTGTTGTTTTTGTGGTACTAGTGGTGACTGCTGTTGTAACAGCAGCAGCAGCAGCAGCAGAAATGGACGGATTTGGTACAGTCCCCAAATGTGAGGGGTCTGAGCTATGTTTGTTAGAATCCGTACTAGTCAGAGCAGGGTTGGGTTTTGATGCAGCAGAATCTGTATGGGAACGCTGGTGGTGGTGGCTACTCGGTGCTGTACCACCTGGATCAGTATGATGTTTTGAACTACCATGTGACGATGCTTCAGACTTGATGTGGTGAGATTTATCTCCTTTCCGGTCATGGTTTGTCTGTGAATGGTGATGGGATGATGATGATGATGATGATGCTGACTTAGCCGAGGCAGCGTCTCTTGCTGCTTGTTGAGCAGCCTGCTCACGTAATTTCTTCTTTTCAGGGTCATACTCCTCTGGTCGGTCCTTTCCAGACTGGAAACAGATAAACAGATTGAAAGTGCCTTTCACAATATACCAAAATCAAAGTTTTGTTTATTTTAGCTTAATATTGATTTTTTTTAATATCCCTACAATTTTTATTTTAAATAAAAGGCTTTCTTTATTAAGTTATTCCTGCTTACATAAAAAAAAACTTTTTCGGTTCTCAGGCACACATATATTTCCTTTGATCATCAGAAAAAAGAAAAAAAAAGTTGGGGTTTATAATACTTTATATAACGATGACCCCTCATTACTAAGAACACAAGGATTTTACTTCAAAAGTGATGAAGTCATATGCTACAGCAATAATCTTTAATACCAAAACACTCGTCGATAGTTTGATGTAAAGGACACCAGTTTGTATCACTGCCACAAAGTATGAATGTAGACAATGCAAAAAACTAATGTATCACTGCCGTCAAGTCTCAAAAGGTCTGCTCAATAGAACAATCTACTCAAGTGAGGTTTCATTAACATCCTGTGAGTAGGTCTTGAAAACAATAATGACCAAGTTTATGGAGGAAGAAGAACAATAAGTGCAATCAATGACTTCAATTGAAGGATTATTGGCATCAGCCATAGCAATGCTAGTATCTTGTAAAAACAAGGTGGTATTAAATACAAATTTGAAATAATATTGGTCACATATAGAGCAGAATCGTGATTGGAATGTATTGATGGTTAACAGAATCCCTGTAGCTTATGTATGTATTTGTTCTATCACCTTTCAATTAAGTAATTTGGGTGTTTTTTTGTTCTGTAACTTTTCAATTTCTTTTGATAGCTATTTCTTTTGTTCTTTTCATTATTGAACAGAAGTAAATTTGTGTTTCCTGCTTCTATCCAAAAATTGACAGGTTGGTTAGGTTTTTAACTTTAACAGCTATTTTTGCATGGGTATTTTGAATGTTTCAATATTCCTTCAAAACTATCAAAACAAAGCATATGAAGAGCAGAAGGCAGGTAAAGAATCATGAAACACACATTTACTCCCATGCAGATTTATATTACAGATCTTTTACCTTCCACGTCAGTATTTTTTTTCTGAGCTTGCTTGGGCACTTGTCAAGTATATTGAGAAATTCCTGGGACATATCTGAAAGACAAAATACATATGTACTTCAATGTGCAGCTTGTTGATGTGTATGTGTATGTACATACACAGCAATGTTGGGGGAGAACTGTTTCTACAGTATTAAAAGGTGATGTTTTATAAGAGGGACATCTTTTATGCTTTTTGAGCACTGGTTATGCTATTGCCTGATTTTCCCAACACACCAACATGAAATGTAATACTATGAAATAATGTATTGAACACTTAAATGCATTTTATACATGTTGGTACATTTTATATTTTACATGTTGGTACATTTTATATTTTACATGTTTATACATTTTATATTTTACATGTTGGTACATTTTCACCAGTGAAATAAATAAGAGGATTATAGTGAAAATAAAGTGATGCTTTCTTATTGTGACAAACATTTTTTTGTTATTTTCACTTTCAACCAATGAATAAGAAAACAAAGTTTAGTACGAAAAATAGCAACTTATGGGTATTGTCAATTGTTACATCAAAATCTTGAAAATAGCCTTGACGTTTTCTTATTGTGATGTCACTATACAGCATTCGGCAAGTCACAATTTTTTTCTCTCTTTGGGAGACAGATTATTTGTTCATGAAAGTCCTTGTTTTCATGATGAAAATTGCAATACAAAAACATTTTTTTATCTCTTTATTAATAAGATACATTCACTCATGGGTTGAATATTTTTCATGTCATTTGAGCAAGACCCTTTTGAAAAATATCAAAATATTCACCAAATTTGTGAAACATGCCAAACATCTTCCCCATTTACAATACAAATCCAATTTCAATCCATTTTTGTGTAGGAAACTTCTAAGCCATATATTGTTGTGCGATGCGGTGAAGCAATCTTCAATTGCAACAATAATTTAAGGCAATGACTTACAACGCTGTTCAACTGTTTCATTACCGATATTTTTCAGATAAGATTTGAGAGCTTTAGAAACTCCCCCTCTTTGGATAATACGTTTTGGAAAAGGAAACTATTTGATATGAAATGAAACTACCAAGTTTTAATCTAGTCAGTTAATTTGAAATAAAGGTAAAAAGCCAATCAGTAAGCCTTTGCACTAAGTCTGGTATTTCTTTTGTTTGATTAAGGATCATTATTGAATCATTTTACCTTCAAGTAACTTGACAGTGACATTTTTGTCCAGGTACCAATGCCAATCTTTGCCTTCGCTTGACCGAGGTATCTACGAAATAGAACATGATTTTTTATCAGAGCAAAATCTATCAAATACAACAATTGTTTATGACAAAATTACAAAATTGTATAAAGCAGTTTTATTCATTATATGGAATGCTGTCTAATAATAATAGCAAGCCTGGTAAAACATAATTTATTACTTAAACCACTTTCTCATTCACAGCACCATGATAAAGATACTGACATTCTAAACCAATTGAATACAACAGGAACTTTTTATACCTTTTTTTCGGTCTGCACAGACTGATATTTAGCAAAATTTCTTAATTTCCTATTTTAAAATTAACAATTAAAACGAAGAAAAAATTTAAACCCGACCACCACTAATTTTAGAGCCCACTAATATAAATATCAGGAAGTCCTCGCAATCAAATTTTCTGCACTATTTTATTCAAATACTTCCTTCAGATATTTTAATTCACATTGACAGCCCAGGAAGAAGATCCATAATTACAAATGTGATATTGAAGATGTGTGTGGTATTTCTTTTTCCACAAAAAAAAACAGAGACAAAAGTAAAAATGATGATTTTCATAAACAAAACTTAAACTGGGGTAAGGGGTCACTATTACCTCCCAGCTGGACCACTTGCAGGCTAGATGAACACAGGCACAGGCTACCACAGTTGGCTTATACTGCAGACACATGGTGGTCAAATGAAGGCTGGAACAGGCAATGAAAACAGTCAGTGCACACCTACTGAACAGCTACACAAAAATCATATAGTATAAGTAGTAAGATACTGAGGAGATACTTCAAAGACAGGAAATCATCACTATGCTTGCCACACATAGGGATATGTGCCTTTATCTGAAATACAAATGATTATGTTCATGCATCAAATTTGTTCTCTTTCCATTTATGCAAAGTTGACAGACATTTTTTTAAGATATTACTGACATGTATTCCCATTTCCACACTTTTAACACAATAAATGTGTATACTCACTTAGACATTGTGCAAATAAAGGATTTCAGGAAAATGAAGTCAGATTCAGGGGGATAATGTACCTTTCGCAAAAAATCTCTCTGAATATGCAACACATTCAAGTTTGAGTGCCTGCATACTTTGCAAGAGTTTCTTTTTCATTTTACAAACTATATGTGCTTTTAGTTTGACAGTAGGAGACTTTGGTTGAATGGAAATTTAGTTTGGGTAGAAATTTAAACTTGTACATCCAAATACCAAATCATTCTCTACAATTGAAAGTTTGACAAAATTTCTCAAAAAATCAGAGCTGCATACCTCTTTTGTAGAGTAATGACATTTCATGGATTCAAGCTTAATCTTGGCATCAACATTTTCAAGAACACTAATTTATCACAGGACTCATACCTTTTGGACTACATAGCCAAATTTGACATTTTCTTAAGTAGCTTTCAACTTCAATACAGAGAATTGCAAAAACTTTGTTCATTGAAAGGAAAACATGAAAATGCTGACATTGGCTACATAGAGAACAAGTTTGAGCCCCGTTATATAAATACTGCTGGAGAGAGGCTAGTGACATTGATGTGAGCACCTGTTAGTTGCCAGGAAGTAGGACGTCTGGGCGAGATCCTTGGTGGCTGTGATTGGAACATCCGAGTCGACACACAGCGGTGACAGGCACAGGGTCAAGGTCACAGGCAACACAAGTGTGGGGGCAGAGAGAAAGAAAACATATGCCACCATTAGCCTTTGTATCAACAGCCCTAAATTCAAAATGTACTTGTTGTATTCTAGGCCAGCAGGTATTGGGAATTTTTAGGGTAGTTTTAGGTTTTCTTTGCTGAGGATTATTTTGGTTTATCAAATTACCAAGTCCTGCTAATCATGATACTAATGTTTACTTCATATTTGAAATTGTAAATATCTATAGGAGTAGGACATGATGACAAAACCACCAAGAGGAGACTCTTTGTTAACTGTTCTAGTCACCAGTCCTACACCCTATATATAAATACTCTACATCTAAGCTCTTTGAGGATTATTGACTCCTGTTTACAGAAATTTGTACATATATTTTATGTCTACAATGTACATAGAGTGAAAACACTTCAACTGGCAATTTGATTAAATATGGTGCCCTACTTTCTTTTTATATTAATTATTCAAATGGTTGTTGCATTCATGCCAGATCACATTGACAAAGATTATAAATTACCTGGTAATAGATTACTGTGAATGGAATGTCGAAAATCCACAAGGAGACAGAAGTCAGAGCAATATGCTAACAATGTAAGTTGTCAATAACACCACCACAAACAATGCACCGAATGCATTACTGTTATGTAACAATGGAATAGAGCCATTTCAGTAACTAACATTCATGAATGCTTTGTATCACAATGCACACACTAGTAATTTATAAACATGAAAAATAAACATTGGTGCAGATCTTGTCTTTTATCATCCATGTGAGACAGCATTCCATATGGCATCTTATACTTAACCTGTAATTGCATAAAATATTTCAGCAGTTAGTTATTTAACTAGTTACAGAATATAGTAAGATTATGAGAGACAAAATATTCAGAGTAAAAAGTGTACATCTTATTTACACCAAATAGAAGCTGAAAAATTGTCTTAAGCTTATTCAAATACAAAAATACTTTTAACTCTGAAAAATTTCTGCATAACTTTCTACCTATTATTTTAATAGTCAATTACAAATACTCAACAGAAGATGACGCTAACTAAAATAACTACGGCCAGCCTATTTCTGGGCTGGCAGCAAAACAAGACTATACACTTGGTTTATAGTTTCTGTAATAGTCAAATATGCTGTACTCACAAATTGTAAATGAAATATTTATCATTGATGAATGTTGTCTAGTAATAGGATTGTCTTTAATATGCTCTTGTTTCAATTACATTCTTTTTATAATTCTCTCAAACTAACCTGGCACACTAGGGAGGTTATAAAAGTTAAAACATTTTCACAAAAATAATCTTATTGGTTTGTATGACTATTTTCTGCTTCTGTAGGTGAGATTAATAATGCACTTTCCCCCCCAAATAAAATCAGTGCCTTTCAAAGCTATGTTTAATCAGGACTTGCAATAAATTCTGTGTTCACATATCATTTTCAATACAGCCAACACATTTCACACAAGATGACAGCCAAACCTTGATTAAATATTTGATATTCAAACTTGTAGATTTTCTTCAAATAATCAATTACTTGGGTAGGAATATTTATTTACAGGCTAAACATTGCATTCAGTACAGCAAATATCCCAATAAACATGTCTTCCATCAAATACTGACAAATATAACATTTTTGCAAAGTCTTCAGAAAGAAAATTACTTCACATTAAAATAACGCACCATTATTTTCAGCTAAAACACTTAATTAAACCAACCTTTACAAATGACACCGAATATAAAGCTGAAATTTCTAGCACCATAACATTGTCACTGCCGTGTCTACCCAACAGAAAACTCACCTCTGACCAGCTGACATGTCTTGACCACATGGGTGTGGGGGTGGTCTACAGTCAGGTCAAAACCTGCAGCAAAAGATCCACTCTGTTTAGCATAAGTTACTTCAAATGTTGTTTACATACCAGTATTAAACCATAACATTGCGGAAACTATCAACAACAAAATAGAATATTTGGCATGCAAGCAGGCCTAGGAAATTAGACTTTCTCTTGTTTATGTATGTTCAGGTTTTTAGGTCTATGCAACAGTTAAACTGTGCTCACAAATAACAAGATCATTCAACAGCCATCTAAAAGCAAACATTGCAATGTGTATTTTACACACAAATGATCATAGCAAGAATACTGGATAAAAAAAAGTCTGCTTAGGAATTAAGTGATTGATTATCTAACACCCCCCCCCCCCCCCCCCCCCCTTTTCTGTTTTTGTTTTACACCTTTTGAACTTTAGAGAATATAAACTACCCCAGGTATTTGATATTTCATTTCAGATTTCACTTTCTGTTCAGAGGTCAATATGTTTTATAATGCATGCATGGTTCCTGCAATCCCACAGCGTAGCTAGCGCTGCAGCACTGTTGTAACATATCTTTCTCTCATTCTTGTCTAATCATTAAAGAATCACTAGTGAAGACAAATAGTGAACAAATATTTGTATTTCACAACACTATACAATACACCTTACTTTAAAAAGCCTGTATACCCCTTTTCTTTTATCAACAACAAACAAACTGAAACATGACAATAAAATATGCATTTTTTCTGGTATTTTTGTAGCTATTAAAAACCAATGTGACCTTCCAATTCTGTTCTGTAAAATTTAATCAAGTTAATCTTTAACATGACAAACATTGCTCTTAATTGCATGAACTACTAACTCCTTACCCAAGGTCTGAAGGAGAATGTTTTCATTCACAACCAGTTCGTGTGCTTGTTGTAGGTAGTCCTGGAAATAAAAACATGACCTTCAGTAGCTAAAATATCATAAAGTGTCCTACAAAATACAACATGTGTACATACTTTACACTTCAACTTTGCTGTAGATTAATGATTTTAAAAGTACTAATGTATGCAAGACTTCAGAAAAAGCTTTTGTTGTTCTATCACACTTGCACCATCACATGAGATAATATTGTGATGCAGCAGTATGGTAGCATCAACAATCAAATGTGCTGTCTTAAAAGCACAATTTAACATATATATACAACATGTTTACATGACATTGCTTATCAGACAGGGTAACATTTCGCTTACTGTTTCGTTCAGGATATATTTCACAATTTAATTAAATGAGAGATCCCAGAGGGATCTTGGCGCCCACCTTTGTACCATCTTCATTAGTTCTTTGTCAGTTCGATCTTTTCTCTTCTTTCCTCTAATCTGTTTGATCGAGTCATGTTAACAGTAAATGCACCTTGAGGTAACTTTTTATCTAAACTTGATACTGATGTGTATGAA